GCCTTCAAACCTTCTCAGTTGAAGTGGACGCCAAATACATACGCGGAATGCTTAATAATCCTGACATTCAACCTAACACCGCCGTTAACCGCTGGATCGCGGGAATCTCACTCTTTGACTTCACCCTCCGCCACGTCCCTGGAAACAAGCATGTCGCAGCAGATGGTCTATCTCGACGACCTCCTGCACCAGAAGACGAGAAAGACGAAGACGAGACAGCAGAAGAGGCGGATGAGTGGGTAGATGAGATACTAGGATGTGGAGTGTGGGAAGCGAGAAAGATTGATGAAGAATGGCCCATCACAACAACCTCGAACGCTTTAGTACCCAGCTCTACTCCTCCCGCACTTAACGAAATCCCCGCCACTGAAAGATCCCTGAGCTTTGACAACGACCTTCACACGATCCTAACTTATCTCAAAACACTGTCATTTCCGTCTCCCACAACCCCCAAAGATCAGTTATGTCTCATCAAGCGTGCACGACAATTCTTCGTTCAAGGACAGCGCTTATGGCGGAAGGAGCAAACAGGACGCAATCAGCTCGTTATATTCACGCCAAACCGATATCGCATTCTCTGCCAAACACACGACGAACTCGGGCACAAAGGATTCTATTCAACCCGTCGAACCATCGCCGACCGCTTTTGGTGGCCCTCACTTGACGCTGATCTCGCTTGGTACTTGAGAACTTGCCATCAGTGCCAAATTCAATCAAACGAGAAGGTTGTACTCCCTCCAACTGTTTCGATCCCGGCTCCTCTCTTCCGAAAAGCCTTCACCGACTCCATGCACATGCCAGCATCCCACGGATACTCTTACATCGTACAAGCACGATGCTCCTTAACGAACTGGCCAGAGTTCAGGATGTTGAGAAAGGAGACGGGACGCACCTTGGGTGCTTTCATTTTTGAGGAGATTTTGTGCAGATGGGGAGGACTCGAGGAAATAGTAACTGATAACGGGACGCCTTTCATTGCAGCACTTGATTGGCTCGCGCAGAAGTATCACATCCGCCATATTCGCATTTCAGCCTATAACTCGAAGGCAAACGGAGTCGTCGAAAGGTCACATCGCACCATTCGCGACTCACTCGTTAAAGCTTGTAAAGGCGACATTTCGGACCGGCCCATCTTAACTCATCACGTCTTTTGGGCTGACCGAGTTACCACTCGAAAGTCTACAGGTCATACCCCATTTTTCATGGCACATGGCATTGAGCCTCTCCTTCCCTTCGACATCACAGAGGCAACTTTTCTTCTCCCTAACATTGCGTCCCAACTTTCCTCCGATGACCTATTAGCCATACGCGCTTGACAACTGGCCAAACGAGATGACGAATTAGCGGAAATTCATAGCCGAGTACTCAAGAGTCGTTTCTCGTCAATTCGCAACTTCGAGAGCCGCTTCGCCAACACCATTCATGATTACGCGTTCAAAACCGGCGATCTCGTGTTGGTCTTGAATAAGAAAATTGAACCAGCGTCCAACGCTAAGTGCAAACCACGCTACTTTGGACCTATGATAGTTGTTTCGCGATCTCAAGGAGGCTCTTACCGTCTCGCAGAAGTTGATGGTGCCGTTTCAAGACTCAAGTTTGCAGCCTTTCGCCTCATCCCTTATCACCCTCGATCTTCAACTTCCCTCGACGTTACTCAATATATCAAGATCAAGCATCTTTCGGGCACCGTCGAAGAACTATGATCTAGCTGCGTTGTCTCATGTTTTATTACTCTCGTTTTATCAGTTCCCTTCTATCTTACTACACGCTACATTTTTAGTTATATTGTTAGAGGATCGACCGAGGACGGTCGATATTCGAAGTAGGGAGGGGATGTAAGGATCACATATCCTTTGTGCCCCGACCAGCGCTTCAAAACCAAGCGTTCGGACGAAAGTCCAAACCAACCACGTAACTCACAGATGCGAACAAGCGTCACATTCGCATCCGAGTTACGAGGTTACATCCTTTGTCTCTTACTATCATTATCTCACTGTCGTCGACAACCAGCTCGCTCTCCCGCCTTCCTTACACGATACCCAGACATCTATAAACCTTCTTTCGTCACTATTCTCATAATCCCTCCCTTGACACACCGAAAACAGCCAAAACCAATACGAAATTCTCGTCATTCAGGTGCTCAACGTACTACACCATTACCACCAACCATTCAAAAACTTCTCGTACTCCATTTTATTATCGATGTTTCACCCTGTTAGGCTCAATGCCACCACTCTCCGTCTCACCAAATCATTCTTTTCGTTACAGCAAGGACCCTTACCCTATTTTCACAACTTAAATACACGCATGTACGCTCATTATGATTAGTCTTTGCTCCCCCGCTAGATTCACGCGCGCATTCCGTCCGAAACGTCCTCTCGTCAGAAGCCTCAGCACTCTCATTAGAAAAGTCTTTCATTATATTCGATCCCTTCTACTATCGGTTACTTCGATGATCCCCGTCGAACTCGCAGATAGCCTTACAAACGGGGGAGCAGTAGCCTGGAGCGCGCGTAAGCAGCCTATTATTGCCCTTTCCACAGCCGAAGCAGAATATATAGCACTCACCAGTGTTGTCCGAGAGCTGCTATACCTCCGCCTACTCCTCGAGGAACTCTACGGCATCACCCAATGTCCCATCCCTATCCATTGCGACAATCAGGCTGCCATCGCACTTGTGACAAATGAAAAATTCTAATCACACACCAAACATATCTGTTACGACTTGGATGGTATCTGTTGGCGACGCTCAAACAGAGCTTGTGTCGTCAACGGTCTGTGGACGTCCTTGGGCTAGCCCAAGGTTAGGGGTCGTACTTGGCGGGTCTTCGGCAAGTACGATTTAACGCCTATGTCCAAATCGGGTAGCTTATGTCACGCGGGTGCGAGACGATAAGCTATATCGGCCTAGGCTTACGACACCCGAAGGTTAATCGTAAGGATCGTCGTTAATTAGAAGGACAGAAGTCCGACTAGTTAACAGGGGCTTTGCTCGTCGACGAAGTCGATGAGTAAAGGTCGAGACTATAGGCTTATCTGCGATGAGCAGATAAGAAGATAGAATATAGACTGCTGGCGAAGCAGAAAGGATCACTCTGGTGAGAGTAGGAGGTCAAGAACCAAGTAGATTCAAGTTAGGGAATATAGTACATGGTAGCGAGTTTATATAGAGGACAGGAGACGTATTAGTGGATGATACTCGTACTACCGGGAGAGGCAACTGATAAAGGGTGAGACCATAACAGGAAGGCACGTTCGGTCTAGGTGGAACGTGCTAGATAAGAAGGTGAGTCAAAGATCGGACTAAGAAGTGAAATGCGCAGGGGCACGATCGTGCAGCTGCGGATCTAAGTATAAGTCGCATGTGTGACTGCGCACCGAGTCAGAGATCAAGAAAGGGAACAGGGCAAAGGGGATGCGTCGTGCATCATGTCATAGGTTACCGTCCAGACGGTAAGGGCAAGGGGACTGTCCACAGGATCAGTCAGGTGGTGAAACGGAGCACGGGTATGCTTCGTCAGCAAAAGGATCCGGCCAAATGTACTGGCTTTGCTGAAGCGACAGGTAGAGGGCGAAAGGGAATGCGAGGATGACGAGGATGACAAGGGTAAGGTCGGGGTAAGGGTATGATGCGAGGGCTGATACGAGGAGGATTAGGAGAAAAATAGTAGGGGCCCAAGCGTCTAGATGTTCTTGTAACAATATCAACCTTCATTATCATTTCATTCGTTCTCACGTGAAGGCCGGAACCTTTAAGCTGCAATACTGCCCCACCAATGACAACATCGCCGACGCATTCACCAAGGCACTGGCCTGCCCCCGCTTGCAGAGACTCAGAACCCTGATGGGACTAGCTTGCGCTCGAGGGGGAGTATTGACGTCGTCCGAAGATACCGAGCACGGAGAGAGTCAAGATGCCGAATAGCAGGTACGAGCACAAGGGATGTGTCGGGAGCAGGAGGAACGGAGAAGGACCTGTTGACGTCGGGACCGAAATGGTCCAAAGTAAATTTTTACCTTCATAATAATCGAGAGCGCTTACCGTATAAATACTAGCGCCCAATCATTGCGAGCGTCTCAGTTCTTTCTAGAGACTGAGACGTGAGTCTACACCTTTACCGTTATTGTTACACTTAACTGACTTAGCGTAGTTGCTCTTACCTGTTAGGTACACGCTTCGTCAATATGAGTTCTTTCTAGAGACTGAGACTTGCTCTTACCTGTTAGATCCTTTCTATCTCGCTCAACCTCTAATCTCTAGAGTCTGAACTTTGGAAGAAGCGGAGGAGACGAATAATGATGATGTACACTACTGATCGTAACGGCGGTTAACCGCCAGTCCCCAACTCTGCCCAGCAGTAGCGCATGTCTCGCCTTGTCTCAACTTACCAGTCACATTCTTTGCTTATTTCAAGACTTCTGTCACAGATATTTTACATGTGAGTAGGAAGGGTATCAAGAAAGGGTAAAATTCGCAAATTGGTTTTATATACAATACAGTGGATTTAATACAAAACAATATTGGAGGTACAAGTCTTGAGTGCAGAACACCAAGTACTGGAGTCTATTCCTCCATATACTCGAGTTTGTCTCCAACTACAGCAGAGAAGGACCCCGTTTTGGTTGGTAACTGACTCATTGTCTCTGATGCCTTGTCTGCAGCCTTCCCTTTCCCCTTACAATCTTTGATTGGGTTGATGAAGGCAGCCTGCATGTACTTCTCACTAGTGCTGCCGTGGTCCGGTTCAGTCCGGTTCAGAGGGTCTTCGACAAGAACTGAGAACCGGACCATTGAGAACAGTTCTCAATGGTCTGGTTCAGTTTTTTTTGCGGTCTGAACTCGAACTGAACCAAAAAAATTTCTGTAGGGACAGCAAAAAAAATTGATGAAATACTAGTCTACACATTGAGTAACTACTCTAATAACATTTGTGCATACTCCTCTGCCTCTGTAGCTGCTGAAAGATGTCCATTATGGTAAGTGGCCTTCATGAAAATGATCAGCCGTGTGAACTCGCTCCCAGGGGACTGGATTGGGGAGCAGCTGCCGAAAATGCGAATAAAGGGCAAGTCTGTTTTGCAGCATTGGCAACAGTTGTGGTAGGGGAAGGTGCAGCAGTAGGCTTTGGGATCGTGCTCGCAGGCTTCTTGCCAAAGTCAAACTTCAGCGGTGCAGGTGTGGATGGGGCAGAAGTTGGGGCAGCGTTGCTCGAAGTGGTACTAGATATCTATGGTGGGTTAGCTTGTGTCAATGTAGATGTTGGCATTGAGGAAGGTAGTACACTGGGTTGGTTTTGCGAAGGGGAATGGTGCTGGTTTGCTGGTTTCCGTGCTTGATGCTGCTGGTGCAGAGAAGGGATTGGTGGATGTGGAAGTAGGTGCAGTGAACAGCGGCTATGCAGGCATGGGACCAAAAGAAAACAAAGGAGCTGCAGGTGCAGGTGTCAATGGTGCAATTGGCTTAGCAAAAAAGTCTGGTATGGAGGGTGTAGATGATGTGGTAGGTGCAGTGGTGGTGGTTATTTGTGGAGTAGACAAGGTAGGGAATAGGCTGGGTTTATTGGCAACAGGAGCTGAGGGTACCTGAAGTGTAAGGTTAGTATCAGGTCAAAAACTTCAAAACAATTTGAATGAGATAGTCGATAGGAAGATGGCTTTCACCAGTGACAAAAAGGATGCACACACATAATTATAGAGCCTGACTCAAATGAGATTTTTTTTTAAAAAAAATTAAATTCAGATGCACATACCTGTAATTTGTGGGTGGACGACAGCAAGATGGAGCTGAGTGATGGTTCAGTCCAGATGATTGGTGGGACACAAATCAAAGGTGCCTTGAAAAAGAGAGATAGAAAGTCATGTGAGAAATTGATTGATTAGTACTTACCTTGAAAAGGCTGAAGGTAGCCTGATTAACCAATAGTGCAAATCCCAAAGACAGCAGTTTGATGTGGAGACCAACTTTGTCACAGTCGCAGTCGCAGTCGATGTCGATAATGGTTCGGAATGGTTCGGCCTTGCTGAACCAGAACGGGACCATTCGGGAAGACCTAGAACCAAGAACCGTTTTCCAGTCCAGTTCTGGCTGATGTGAGAACTGTGGACCGAACCACAGAGAACTGGACCAAAAGTCCAGTTCAAACCATGGTTTTGGACCGGACTGCGGCAGCACTACTTCTCACATGGCAGCAGCTGCATATGCTGTAGCATCATATGGGAGCCATTGGCATCGCGAGGGTTGGAAGAGTTGCTACAGGGCTTAATGGTCCAGCTGCATAGTAACATTAGAACGACAAACACCGAAAAACAACTAAGGACTTACAGCTTCAGAATGACCTCCAACTCCACAATTGATCCCTCTTTCAGCTTTGTCTTGTATTCACTGACATGAATTTGGACACCACGCTCGTCACAGATGTCAGGAGACTGGACCCTCATGCCACACAGATCATATGTGGTCAGTAGAGCGGAGTAGCAGCCCTTGGAATCTTCAAGGTCACAGATGCACCACGAGCGACCTAGCATGTGTATAATCATATGATGTCACAGTCCATCGAGACATGAGACTTAAAACATACCTGCAGATTTCTGAACAATACATCATCTGATTATAAAGGGGTCAGTCAATCAAAGTACATCTAAAGATATCAGCGAAGGTACATCAGGATCAGCTGAAATGACAACCACTTTTGAATCACATAGCCTTTGAGAGCAGACTGCACAAATGGGCGGTTCAATCCACTTTGAAGCATCATAATAGTGATGTAAGCAATCTAACACAACATCCTTTGAGACTGACTGGCCACTCATGCCAACAGACAATACCAAGGTTGTGTTCATCAGCTACTGCCTGCATTTTCTGTTCTTTCCTGACCATTTTCATGCACTCGCGAGATCAAACTTGAGTAGAGCACGATCTCGGACACGACAGGCAAGATCATTACATGTTTTTGCACGCAATCAACTGCTAATGGCAGGACGTCCTCTCGTAGGCAGACCATAAATACATTCTGAAAGCACATCAATAGTTAGTTTACTAAGCCTATGAACTAGATCTTGAAGCGGAAGCACAGACCAACTGATTTTGGGCACCTTAATGGCTCCAGCGGCATGAATTTGAAGTGGTGGCCAACAGAGTGCACAGAAAACCTCATCTCCATACAAACTGTTGAAATATGTTGACAACTGAGGCAAGAGAGGCGAAGTACACTGTGTATGTACTGTAGCACTTGAGAGTATCATTTGCAGCTGGTCCTCGTCTGATTGGAGTAATATCATCCGAGTGAAATGAGACAGCACCACATGCAGGTGACTTTTTTTTCAATTGACCCCTGGGTAAAGAGAGCCGGCATACACAATCAAGAAGCACTTTGTCAAAAAGAGTTGAGAAATTCACCTCTAAAACACATTCACCATAATACATTCATCTAGGAAAATCATCTATTCTAGAGTTTAGGTAAGCGTTGACTGTCAGAGAGTCGTAGGAAGCAAGCTTGCGAAAGAATACACAATGGCGGTAACCAGCCTCCACAAATTTCCCCAGAGACATCAATAATGTAGCACCTCACCAACACAGAGTAATACAAACACTATCATACGAGATGCATCCATCAAAGCTGGACAAGTCACAAGTTAGACAGAAGAATGAGTGTAAGGCAAGAGAGGCTCTGAGCCATGTGCAAAAATTTTCGAGTGTTTCACAAGATACAAGATGATATTGAGGATAATAAAGTGCATCATAGTAATGTGGATAGTCTCAGACAGCATGAAGCTCGTCGTCAGGAGGGCAGTGGCTTTCCTTCAAGACGCGAGCCGAACAACAAGGCAATTTTTGAATGAAAACCCTGAGGGACGACCAACACAAATGAATCAAAAGAGATGACGGAAAAATCGACAAACACTTACGGTCTATCTACTGAGAGTGAGAGCGATGACAACAATATTAATGACAAGAGGCAATCAACGAACAAAAGCTTTCCCCACTGACTAAGCGCAACAATTTTTTCCCATTCCCACGGGTGCGTTTGCAGGCGTTTGAACGTTTCTGTCCAAGAGAACCCTCTCCACTGACGTGGAGTCGGGGAAGAGCCGACAGTGCTCTGGTCTATGACTCTTGTCCTTGGAACCCCCAGTCCAACGGGCTGTCGTGATGTCTAGGATCTGCACGAAAACACGCTCGATGTGTGATATATGCGTCAAGGACAAAAACATACTTTTGGATGAAGTTTCTCACTGATTGTCCACTCTAAGATCCTATTGCCAGCTCCGCTGAGGATGTGCTTGCCGTCTACGGAGAAAGTGACGCATAATGACGTAGATGGGTGCTTGAAGGTGACAATGGCTCGTTGATCTGAGAGCTGCCAAAGACGGACATGGTTATCAGAAGATGCGGAGGCGGCGAGTGTGCCAGTAGCGTTGATGGCAATGCCATTGATCCTGTCAGTGTGGCCAGCCCAAGGAACACCAACCTGCTGCCAGGTCAATGCATCCCATTCGCGTATGGTAGGATCGTAATTATCACCGGCTGTGAGAAGGCGCTTGCCATCGGGTGTCCACGTGAGTGACAAGTTGGATTTTGTGTGAGCCTCCAATGACGCGACGCGTTCCCTCGTGCCTGGATTATAAATTTCGATGCTGGATGTTGCAATGGCAAGAAATTCTCCAGACGGCGAATATCGTACGCAGTTGACATAACCACCACACTCGATTGCATTGATTTGCTCCCAGGTTGTAGTATTCCACAACTTTGTTGTTTTGTCCAATGAGCCAGTAGCCAGCACTGTCCCATCAGCAGCAAAGTCCAGCGAGCAGATCCAATCGGAGTGGGCTTTGATGTATTGGGTCGACTTTTCAGTTTCTCCATACCAGACAGTGATCTCTCCACCAGTATGACCACTTGCTATTAATTGCCCATCTCGTGATACCGCCAATTCCACCAGTGAGCTCACGTCACTGTAATGTTCATACAACTGCTTCAACATAACACCTGTCGCCAAGTCCCAGAGACACAATCTTCTATCCATTAAGCCCCCCGTAACCATCTGTTGTCTATCGGGGAAAACTGCAACTGTCGTTACGTCTGCTATATGGTGATAGAAATATCGCAGGGGTGTAGTGGTCGGAACGAGCTCCGACATTTTACTGGAGGTTGATCGCGAGTGGACTTTGGAGGAATTGTAGGTGTCTTTCTCTAAGCACCAGAGGTGCGTGTATCATAAGCCTGAGGCTCCAGCCCCACATCACGTGCTAAGAAAAATTAAATTCAGCATAACCTTATTCCCTCATGCGTTCTAAGTTCTAGTGTTGTGGACAGAACTAGCAGAACCATGTTCTGCTAGCGTGGCAGATGCCGGCAGAATTGTATGTCGTTTTCATAGTGCTAGAGGTACTAATATTACATGATGTAAGACCACTTGACAGCGACATAGAATCAATATTCCCAGTCTGCTTGATAGCTGTCGCTCATGATCAGGGTTTCGCCTCGGCTAACATATACAGACAAATAGTTCTACGTCAATTCTGTCCACCGTGACCCCGTTTGGTTGTGCATCACTGATGCACGCTCTGATCATGACCGTCTCAAGTATCCTTTTCTTCCAGCACTAGATGCTTTCATGGATTGGTTAGCATTAAAGACGCCTCTAAATATCAGCACGACAATAAACATTACTGAAAATACGATGGATAGTGACATTGCTCTCCCTCAGTGACTTAATAATGGTCGCCGTATTTACTTTTGGAGCTAATACAGCTGAGGATGGATGCACACTCGCGCCATGATTGGTTCCGCAGTAACTGATGAGGCCTTGAGGGCATTTCTACTCACACTGTTTTACTGCTGTCATCTCACTCATGCTATTTTCACAGGAATTACAACCTCGACGACGGCAATCGTGCGTTAAAGCATCTTTACTGGCCGAATGGACGAGTGCAAACATAGTATAATACTATACAAGTGTCTGCTTTGTAATGAAGGGACATGAGAATGCCAATAAAACCCAATGACCGAACGTCTCTGATAGCATATGTTGGTGAAGTCGCTGTATGTGAGTGATGATTGATGATGGGGCGTGTTCTGATCATGGTTTGAATGTAAAACGTGTAGCTTGATGCGACCGTGCAGTCCATAGACGTCTGACACGAAAAAATGAGATGCATGAAGGTGAAGAGGGCTTCGTATCCTCTACTCAGTGTTAGTCTGCTGTGATTAGGTGGTCATCACCACACAGACTGAGGGGATTGCATGCGATCCTGATTGAGAACGCGTCAGTATGGGACACGTACAGTACAACTTGTCCCAATACTGTACCCTGCGTCGACTTCCGTCTGCGATCTGGTTTGAACTGAAATATGCACCAAGTTTTGCGACCAACTTATCTATGCCAGAATCGTGACATCGACGATCAGGGCGCATGAACACGGACTGTTGAAGGTAAGCCTGAAAACACAGTCAAAAGCACAGAATGCAGAAGTAATAGAGGCGTGAAATTGGTGTCCGTGAACCCTAGATCCGTGGACACACAATCAAGTCCATGGCTGAGACTTGTACCCGTGCACGCAGATGGAAGGAGGGGCAAAACCCTTTGTTCTAGTTAACGAACGTAGTTATTAGGTCAAAGGAGCGAACGGCAATAAGTGCCACGAGACTAAAACCCAGGAATGATAGCAATATCTGAAATATACAATGTCTGGACTGAAACCATGTCCTCATGAAAAGTGAGCTCAGTCACCAGTGCTGTGATGGTGTGAATTGTTGTACCTTGACGATACCCATACGTCTAGAAATATGCCCCGCGAAGGCGGACGACACCATCTTTGAGTCTCTCCGTAATCACAGGACTCGCTGCTGGGCGGTATTTAAAATCCTTCGAGTATCTGTGCAAGGTGAGTGTCAGACTCTGCGCCATTCGCTAGAGCACAAAAGCGTTGAAGAGTTTGTGCACGAAATGATAACTCACCTTTCAGCGTGAATGACCTTGGGTTCGAATCTCTTGTGCTGCAACTGGAATGCAAGCCAGAAGAGGAACGCAGTTAGGAGAAGGAGTGCGATGCGCTTCCAGAGCGAAGGTGTAGGGCGGTTAAAACGGGGATCTGCGTGGAGTTGCTGGATTTGAGACCGCAGTTGTGGATCAGCTTCTATTTCGGCGGGATCGTTGGTTGAGAGCGCCTGATATTGCGCTGACATGGCGACGCTGGCACGGTGGCAAGTCGAAAAGTGCAAGGTGCGGTACCGTAAAAGCACTAGTGTAGGGTGAACGGTCGGAGATTTAAATATTCGTTCTATAATATTATGTGGCTCAAGGCCGCAAAGTCCGTGGTGCCAATACATACAAGCTACCATAAGTTAGCGTATATACAGCTACGTACACGTGTACTGTGCTCGGTGATATAACAAGACTCGAAATAAGTAATACACTAATCAAGCAGATCGATCATCGAGATACTTTATATATAGGTGAGCTGCAATTGCATTCTATGTCCAAAGCGTACAGGAACATACATTGCTGAGCTAGCTGAACAGGAGGGAGGGGACCCTTGTTAGCTCGTCTTCCACAAAGGAAGCAGCATCTACAGTGGATGGACGAAGTTCAGGCTTGGTTGACCAACATCTGCGCATGAAATCCAGGTGTTGCTGGCTAACGGTCGCACTGGGTTTGGGCCGATATGGCTCTACATGGTTGAACTGAGCATTGAATACCTGTGGGGCATTTTGAAGCCACCAGAAGGGAAGTATCCCCGAGAAGACCTGTACGATGCAAAATTCAGGTGATACCAGGACAGGGTCTAGCATACGCGACTCACATGCAGCATGATGCAACCGAGCGAAAATACATCGCTCTGACTGTTCGGTTTTGGGAGGTCAACATCGCCGTCCCTGCCATCCTGGGTGCTTTCTGATTCCTGTAAGCCGATCAATTCGGGCGCCAACCACCGGACAGCGCCACTCGAATGAGAGTTGTAGTACGATCTGTCAGCTTCTACGAGAGCCACCGAGAGACCGAAATCTGTCAAAAATGCATTGCCATCGTTGTCTATCACAACATTTTTCTTCCAATGACAAGGTTAGCAAGGGCTGCAAAGCATCAAAGAATGCATACACTGGTCAGATCCCCGTGAATTACTCCCTGTTCATGAACTAGAGATTGTCAGATAAAAAAATTCGTATTCGGGACGGAGATCGATCGATCACATACGATATTTCAAACCATCCACCACCTGTTTCAGCTAAAGCAGAGCCGTTCAATCAGCAAGGACTTATATTTGGCATGATAAGTCTCACCAGCTTTAGTTTCTGTTCCATAGTGAGGCCCGTGCGCTCCAGGTAGTCATCAAGTGCCCCGTTATGCATCCACTCGGAAACAAGAGCAGGTAATACTCCAAAACCGGAGACAGTGCCGTGGAGAGTGAGAACATGCGCATGCCTCAGTCTGATCCACACGGCTACTTCGCGGCGAAGTCTCTGCGAATAGGCATTCAATGTGTCTCACATTATAAATAAGTGTTGGTATACCTGCTTCGCTTTTTGGACGGCTTTTTCATTACGTATGTCCGTAATCCTGATGATTTTAACAGCAACCTGTCCAACAAATATTGATCCTCGAGATTCGCAGCATGAGGGTAATATCATATGTACCTCAGTAGAGGTTGCTGGATCGATTGTCCTTGAGCACCTCCAAACATCGCCCAAGCCACCGGATGACGTGGGATGATCTGATTGCTTCCTGATTGATGTGGACGGAATGGCGAATGGGTCTGTATCGAACGCCACTCTGCGTTTCGTGTTTTAATACCTGCAGTTTGTGAGGAAATTTGCGCTTACAGCTGGGCGCCACTGTGTTATCTCATGAGGAAGTGTTTTATCATCCAGAGCTGTGCAAAATACTTACGGTCCAAGATTATCATCTACTGGTATGGAAGGGTCAAGCTGTACTTGAGCTTGCGGTGCAGATGGTTGAATTGGTGCATATCTGTAGCCTGCATGTTCAGTGTCATCCATCATGATATGATGAGACATACGGATGCGTATTAGCGATATAAGGTACTGATACTGGTACAGCTGGTATGGTCAATGGGCGGCTATCCGAGTCATAGCATGAGAGGCCATTTCTTCATAATCCTTGGTTTAAAACTCACGTTGCGGAATCTGCAGAAGTAGCAGCGTTGTCTACAGAGCTGCCATTGCCGTTTTCGATCTGCCAACGTGATATATAGCAAGGTCAGTGATTGAATCTAATGACTGAGAAAACCAATGTCTCACGATTGGAGTCTGCCGCTGGGGTTTTCGAAATAATGACGCGCAGCAACCCATAGTAATAAGGCAACTATTCGTACAATTATGGAGGTCTGTGTTGCGCTGAATTGAAGGGTCAGCAGTAGTGAGAAGGTTTAAGAATAGTTGAGCGCGCCTATACCCATGATCGACTGACAGTCGAAAGCAATGCTAAAATTATGCCAGCGCCAAGCGCCCTGCCACCGAGGCTGCCACAAGTTGGCACGATACCAAGAATGGCCTCGTCCAAAACTCATTATGATCTAGTCGTTAGTATGGAATCTTGTGAGGCCTGTGGTGGATTTCATCAATTGAATCCGACCCTGACCTGAATTGCAGGTGAGGTTGAAGTGAGGTGGCACGGGATATCGTATTTTCCACCTTTACTATGGGCTTTTACTAGAGTATGCACGCACTGGGTACAGGTTTGGATCAAGCGACACCACAAATGTGAGCCAAAAACGCTTCATGTTCAAGTTGGCGAAAGGAATAAAAATAAAAGTCTGCAGGACGCAAAGTATTATTTATAGCTAGCCGCAGTGGTCGAATATGCGGCGCAGGCGACATCATTAATTATTAGCTAGCTAGTAGATAGTTTAGAGGCGGGTAGAAAGCAAGCAAGCTGTCAGGGCAGACACGATCATGATGAGCAGTGGACGAGGTCCGATTTTTGATTATAGTGGAGCTGCCACTTGTGGGCTCGAATAAGATATCGCTGTGCTATGACTACCAACTTCCTCTGAGCGACACGAGGCAAATAGCCTAACGGGTTGAGCATGGTCGTTCGCAATGTGTTGGTTTATTATTGAACTATCGGTGAAGGTATTGCGGATGAGTCCTGTGTAAGGTATCTGGGTTTCAAATTTCTTTGAATCGATGCAACACGATGAGGAGAGTCGTCAGAAGCGTGTCCAATGATGATGACGACGAGTACAACGGTTCAGGTCTGTCATTCACCACCGTCTTTCGTCCGCTTCCCCGCTCCCACACCTCGACTAAATATACCGTGTCTGCAGATATGCAAATGTCGGATTCAGGCTCGGACGCGGAAATGGAAATGGATGAGGTGAATCAGAAGCTCCAAGATGAAAACGATGAAAACGAAGGGGAGGAGGAGAAACTAGAGCCTGAGGACGAGGAAGAAGAACCTGAACCCGAACAAGAGGTGTGTTGACATCATCTGTTTCTGGCTATCAGTATACTGATACTACGTGTTCAGGATGCTCCAGAGTCTGAAGAGGTCTCTCCTCCTCCGTCTCCGCCAAAGCAGCCCCGTCTTAAGATCAAACTCAAGCTACCGAGCGCGCCCAGCACCGAAGATACTGGATCCCGCGGGCGTTCTGGTGGTGTGTCCTCCGTAGTCCCTCCTCGCGCGCGCGGCTGACTATTGAGCTTGTGACGCGCAGATATCGACATAGAGTCCGAAGATGAGGATGATGAAGGAGAGGCAGTGGGCTCCACGCGCCCGATGACTTCTCGTCAAGCGGTTCTCGCGAGTGTTGTAGGCTCTTCGCATGTATCTCTATGTGTGTCCCTTCTTCTTTATTTTCGCTTCGAATTCCTAAATCTTGTCATTACTCTGACGGATTGTTGTGCCTATATCTCCATATGTTGCCATTTTTACACATTTCGATTTCCTAGCCGCTGAACGCTAACCTTTATTGACAGCCACTGGCGAATCCTCTCGAAAAAAGAAACAACTCACAGAGAGCGAGCTTGCACTCCGACGTGAGGAGACAGCACGAAAACGTCGCAATCTTACCGAGAAAAAGCTCGAGGATGAGAAGGTTCGTTGGTTATGTTTGCGACATGTAGAAGGAAATTGAACATTTTTCGCAACTTCACGCGCCATCAAATGAATATTTGACATTCTCTTTGTCATCCCGACTATGTTCAACTCCACCCCTTCAGGCAGAGACTATCAACCGCCTCCTCAAAAAGCAGTCCAAGTCTAAGGCCAAGCGCAGCGCGCTCTCCACTGCGGAGGCTAGTGCATCCGAAGGTGAACGTGAGGTCGAACAAGAGGAGAAGGAGGTCGTCCTACCGACTACTTGGCGGTGGGTGTCCAGCACACGACCTCAGGCGAATTCGTCTACTATGCTACAGGAGGATGTTACTCAGGGCAAGATGCACCTCACCTTAGGCGTGCCCATCTCTGTCCTTTCCAGCACTTTGGTGACGCCACAGCCACCTCCGCCAAAAGAGAAACCACAGTGTGACGTCCCTGGATGCACCGAAGCACGAAAATACCGCCTAGTACAGGACTGGGTCCGCGGAGCATGTGGTCTCACGCATCTAAAGATTCTGGAGGTGGAGGCGGATACAAAGATGGAGGTTGCGTGATCAGGAGTGTCACGGCACTTTGGGAGGTTTGTTCGTTTTGTCTTGTAAAACGTCGTTTCAGGACTCACAAATTTCAAGGTGTAGATCGTTGTCATTTGCAACTTGCTCTCGCAGTTACTTGTTAAGTTCACTCGCTGTACTATGGATTCATGGCGCTTTGCCTTAATTTGTATGACCTTTTCGGTGTTGACATTTCTCAGCGGTAGGCGCCTCAATAGAGATTATCCCCTGGAAGTCCTTAGAAGTCTGTTGATCGGATATGCTGGTGTTGCCTTGCTTGATAAGATTTCTGGTATAGAAGGCCTGATGCCAGTGGGGCAGAATTATTCGCAGGCAACATCACCGGCAGCAAATTTTCAAAGCGCCGCAAGGCTATGTGGTAAGTGATCACCTGATCTTCCGGCATTCGCGATTTTTCGTTCTACTGAACGTCGTATCCTTTCATCTTCTCATCTAGTTCCTTCAACCTTTCACCCTCTGGCAGTACATTAGCGGGGTGGATTGTGCTACAGAGTGCTACAGAGGACTCTGTAGCAAATTATGTTTCCCTGATGTAGCTCCGCACAAGACTATTTCTTGATGTAATAATACGTGTCATTTCTCCGGCTACTCCTACTAAGAGCGTCCCGGGACTATAGGCCACCCCGCAAGAGAACTGCCTCTCGATATGTGGATCCCAATAAGCTGGCAAACAGTGTACATATACTGATAAATGATACAGGCGGAAGCAACAATACTAAGAACAGCACCTTTTGGTGATGCGATTTTAAAATTTAGGCATGTCTTACTTTACCTTTTCTCAGACTGTTCGCATCAGTCAACAGTGCATTCACGTTCTGTTGACAATTTGTTATCCTTTTCGTACACGCCGTTCCTTTCGATGACAATTATTCATGAACCAAGATTTGCAACCGGTCTTGCCGAATTTCTTCCATCAGATGAGTCAGATGACAGGGGCTTCGGTTGGCCAAGTAGTCGAGCTGGAGCGTGAGTATGCATTATGATCATGGTGTCGTGTGCATTTACGGCCATATCATTAATGGTACGGTAACTTGACGGTGACCATACAGTTACCGCCCGTATTGTACTATATGTCATATGGTGTTCTCGACTCGGACACCCTGGACGGTATGGTACGGGTCACTGTCATATGTGAGATAAAAATATTAAAATAGCTAGTGTGTAGTAAAGTTCGATTGATCACTGCGATGGTGAAGAGTATCACGGGCAGCGAATGCCAGGTCGTTTTTCTTTATAGCATGTAATTGGGATTTCCCGATTGCAAATAGTAGAGGGCTGCAAAGAGACACCGTGATTCGGTTCATTCATGCAGGAGAACCCACATATCATAGGATTCCAGTTATAAAGTGGTCGTAATCAACCAAATCGACTTCTATGACATCGTCCCAATCATGGTCACTGCCTGCATCTTGATGAGCTTTAACCTTTAGGCCTGTGAACTGATGCTGTATTACTTGAAGGTGAAATGACCGCAGGAAAATGCTCGTTCGCAATGGCGCTCCAATAAGACACTGTAAACTTTTGACTTCCATCGTGCGCGTGATTGGCCTGAATCGACCAGTGATCAAATCAACGACTGTAAGATGGTGGGCTGAACTTACAGATAATTTCGGTATCCGCTAGCTCCAGCATCACCTTTTTTTCTTTGGAACCCGATTCACGAGGCTTGGTGGGGGAGAGTATAACTGATACTGGCGAATCCGCGTTGTTCTGCGTTCGTGACCTGGTCTGTTTGGAAGGAGTGTGAGGTTCGGAGGGAACCATACCATCTCAAACTCATGATCTCTCGGTCTTTAGTCTCTTGTATTAGCATCGTTGGTCGAAACATATAGAACTCGGGTGGTGAGCCCGAAAATCTAGCCTATCAGTGAAACTTGAAGTGACCGGAACCCATAAGTTTGAGCCTCTAGTTATGAGGCTGAAGATGCAAGCTCTGGAGTACTTGTCAAAGTTGGCATGTCATTCGATGTCGGCTACAACGCTAATAAGTGCTTGATGTTAATAGACAGTAGTGTGCTTAGTACAAGCCTGGTAGACGCAATGCTCGACCAAATACTAGTGACCAGTGGGCACCCACGGGTGACCTTGAATTCTGGGTGCTGCGGCTACCCGTACCGGTGGTACTGCACTCAAGCTAACCCGTAACCCGTAGCGCCCGACCCACACGCTACCCGCGGGTTCCACCCGGGCACCCTCTATCCATGTCAGGCCCTAGACCAGTAGAAAAGCCATTCGAGCCGGTGGCGGAGGAGATATAGACACGATAGCAGTGTCTCCGGAGCAATCGGGCAAATACAAGAGTGTGGAATGGCATCAAGGAGAGGAGCTTGATAGATCAGACCGATCGCCAATAGTCGCCCGTGGCCAGGAGGGAAATGATAACGATGGGGTGAGACTGGTTCATATGGTTCCATATCTATGTGTTTGTGCCCCGGTGCAACACTTCCTTCTTAGTCCTTGCGTAAGCCAGTGCTTTTAGATTTGCCAGCCAATCACGTTCTAACACTTACTTTCCTGCTTCAACTCGACTTCAACTCGCTAATTCTCTGTTCCCTGCTGTCTCACATCTATTTGTAAATTTTGAATCCCACACTGGCAGTCTTTTCATATCATGCGGACACCTAATATCTCTCGGATATCCATTGGCCAATGACTCCGAAGAAGTATTCACAGCGCGGGCCCCACTGCGACAAAAAAAATACAGGGCGCAGCTGGCACTCCGCCTTGTATTTGTTCTGCGTTCTAAAATATTTGCTTTCAACTGGGCAAAGTCAGTCATATGGGAATCAAGTGGTGACACCACGAGATAGCACCGAGGCAGACAATGCAAACTTGCAATTCCTAGCATTGACCACTATTAGAGGTATTCACGCGCACGTCTGACTCACGGCATGAGGGACTAATAGAAGGCGCCTCCTGCGCCCCGAAAACTTTTTCATCCCACATAGAGAAACTGGTTTCATTTGTCCATTCTGTGGCGCGAACTAGGTCGGGGCTCGGGAAAACTTTCATGTGTACCCACTACCGACGAGAATCGCATATTGCGAAAGCTTCCCGTCCATTGGTACGATTATGGACCCTTGATCGACAATAAATTTAGCTGGTATCGGCCTTGGTACGTGTCGTGTACGTCTTTCCTGAGAGGTTCACAATCAAAACCGTCTGTGATAGGTCTATGGCTGTATAATCAGAGCACGGGTCGCGTGTAAACTGTGGAGATTCATGCTCCTTGTATTATCCTAGGATACAGGAGGCCAAGCTTGTGGGCGTGCCTGGTATACTCACTCGCTAACAAGAGGCAGGCCCAACCATAGATCCAAGTCTAGGGCGATTAAAAATATTTTTCAGGGACGCTTTTTGCAGGAGGCTTGTCTCCTATTAGCCTTCCGTAGGCAAACTCAATAGAGCACTTTGTTCCTAGCGCAAAAGGATGAGAACCATTCTATACTAATCAGGTTATAATTCCGCAAAAAGGTTTGAAGGACCGGGGGCCATACCAGGATGGATCGATAAGAATTCACCAAATCAGAATCATTGCGTCCCGATACCATACCCCTTGCATAGTGAATTCACTCACTCACAGTCTCCCCCTTATGCGGTGGTTCAAGCTTAAGGTTCATTGTCGGCGAGTTGAACTCGTGGGATGAGCAAGCCTCTCGAGTCTCGAGTTCATTTGTGCGGTATTTGCCGAACGCGGATCGAAGGCTATCCGTTGTCGAACTTGCTGTAGGAGCTGGATCATCTTCCGGCCATCATACTAGCCAGGTTCGAGTTGACGTTGACGTCGATTGATGATATTACGTGTTTTACCTAGGGTTTTTGGGGCAGTACTCCGCATTGCCCCGTCACTTCCGCCAACAGCCACTAGAGCTCATTCATCATCGGCGGGGAAACCGTGGGTCCAAATTAAACCTGGATTTGATCCTTTCGAAGTGGAACAAAGTATCCTTGCTTTCCTATGATCAATTTCCCCTGCAAATGTGGCATCTTTCTCAGATTTCTGTTCATAGGATCGGAGAAGTCCGACGTCGTGTGCTTGTCCAATGTCTTGTCGTGTGCAAAGTATAGTCCACTTTACATAAATGTACTCCATGGGGAAATGAAGTATTATTAGAACTGCTTATCTCCCAGCTCCGAGTCAATCCTCAAAGGTCCATTATAGAAATTACAAGCTTTGGCAGAACTCAGACAAGAAATCATACCCAACGCCTCCACATCAATTATCATATGTATATGTCCAATATTACAAGTACATGGAGAGATAAACGAGAATACAATCAATATCTGTTGTTAGTACAATATAAACATATATAAGCCTCCCGACGACTTGAAGAGTTACCGACGCATTCCCCCTCCCGTCCGTACGTCACGCCCACACCCCGATTCGACCCCGCCGGTGGCGGAAATACCTCCTTCGATCACTTCGGATGCGGCGCCTAGGAGAAAATAACGGGCATCAGAAAAAGATCATGACAGGAATAGATTGAGTTAAAGGCTTGGTAAGGTGGAAGGGGAAGGGAGGCGGGTAGGGCTTCCAGGAGTTTTGCCACCATCACCAATTCCGGGATGGGGTTATCTCGAGAGGAACAGCCAAATTAATCACAAACAAGGTTACATGATGGAAGAACATCATGGTCTACTGCACAGCACTCGTGAAAGAAGAAATCTATGAACAGATGCGCGGCATGGCGCAAAGCTTTGATAAGAAGGGAAAGTTGTATAATGAGAATAGCGCACATGAAGATGAGAACGGTGCTCATCGCAAATGAGTGTGAGAATATACAGCATGGTATGGGTATGAGAACGTTCCAGTTAAGCATGAGGCCTCAACAGAAACAAAAATGCAAAGCTAAACAGCAGACACAAAGCGATAAAATAAATCAACCGAGAAATCGGAACAGGAGATATTAAAGTTCCAAAAAAGACACATACTCATGATCCTCTAATACAATTGGTAGATGGCCAATTCCCCGCACACCGTCAGATGACGAGCTAGATGATGACTGATAAGAAAAATAACGTGCATGCCTTCGTGATGTAGGAGTATCGACAGGATATGGGCGCCTCCGCATGAGAGAATAAGGAACTGGGGACGAGAGCGGAGAAGAAGAATGGAGGGAAGTGCGGAGACGCTCAACGAGTCAATCATCCCGGGGCCCAGGATCCCCGGAGCCGGGGTTGGAGGGGTGGGACACCTTGCTCCACAGAGCAGCGATTCCATGTTTCTCTTTGGGATCGCGGGAAGGTGCCCGTCCACTTGGGTCGCGCGACGCCGAGCGGGAGCGTATGTTACCAGCCCCGCCACGCCCAGATGACTCGAATTCAGCGAGATTATGGACTACACGTTCAATTTCAGGCGAGTGCACACTGGTAAGGTTTGCAGCCCCGCCTCTGCCAGTAGAGTGTCTGATAGGGGGATAATAAGTTTGTAAGTTCAAGACCGCAAGTGAATGCAACACGCATACATCGCTTGAGCATGAGCATGCTTCCTTCTTTCCTCTTCGTCCATATTGTCGACAGTGGTAGCAGCACCATATTGAATATTCCCTGCTCCGCCTCGTCCCGTGGAATGAACTATTGGACCACGAGAACGAGAGCGGGAGCCCGATATGTTGCCAAGACCGCCTCTCCCAGAAGAATGCTAAAATGTATTGGGCTTGCATCAATGTTTGCAGGACATGAATTCATACGGACATACAATAGGGTTAGCTTCAGCGTGGTGCTTCTTGATCTGCTGTTCATATCCTGCCTGAACCGCAGCGTGCTCGTTGAGAATATTTACGGTCTGTGGGTGGTCTCTTCCCACTTCCTGAGAAGAAGAGCGCATGTTGCCAGCTCCACCCCTACCCACAGAGACCATCTGCAACTACTGAGCAATCATCTTGGAGCGAAAGCTGTGCAACATACCCTGTCAGGGTGAACAGCTTGCTCTCGCCCACGAATCGAACCAGACTCATCCGAACTATCGACTGGACGAGGATCGCTTGAGATGGAAGAGCGCCGAATGTTGCCCATACCGCCTCTGCCCGAAGATTGCTAATGCGAAAAGTATTATGAGATGTATTTGGAAGAGACGGATGCACTTACAAATGAATCACGTCCCCGGGATACAGACCTGCTCTCATTGCTAATTGAATCTGCCATGCGCACAAATGAGCTTATGCAGCGAGAAACAATGATGATGGAAGGAAGGAAGGGAAGGAGTGGAGTAAAGCAAGACAGGAAGACGGATGACCGTAAAAAGGGTGGTGGCAAGGGTGATAGCCTAAAGCTACAGCTGTGCACAAGGTCGGATCCTGCATGAACTTTACCTGCGAGACGCTCAATTTTGAGTGACAGCCGGAAGACAGCTTTCCCTGGGAGATAAGAAACTTAAGGAGCCACCTGAAGCCGGGTACTGAAGTGGATGCGGAGCCGTGTGATAGCCCTTATCAAAGTTCCTTCAATCTCCCAAGTGACAGTCATCTTTCTTCCGAGTACGCATCATATGTGAAACGTAAAACTCACTTGGTTCGTTCACCAACGTCGCCCCGTCATCGCTGTCATACGTATGTACCCGACTCAGCCTCTGCTGTGGAAATGACTTTGAACCTGGAGAATCTTGAGGGCCTCCTGACATGTTGTCTCGGGCTGGGGTTCTGTTTATCGCCAATCGAAGGTTTATTGACCGACTACGGGAGTCGTGTCGATATCGAGAGAGGAGAAAGGGAAAAATTCAGTATTTGTACAAATAATGTAAGGTAAGTGTTGACAGTCAAAGTGAGTGCATATGGCGTTTTATGCGTAATCAGTGACCTCCGGATCTAGCTGGCTGTAGCGAGTCACCGACTGACTCATCAACGTGTAACGTTCGACGGTCGGATCTCTGCTCGAAATGTCCGTCAAAATGGAGCAGCTGGGCTTTGGACTGGACATCTCTTCAAACGCCGTCAAGGCACCGCGCATCACAAATGTACATATCCAGCAACCTCAGCCTCTTCCATGGTGGCAGCACACTGAGTTCTGCCAGCGACATTCTGCCCAGGAGGTTCTGCTATCTGCCTAGCAGCTGTGCCAGTTCCGCCATGACATGTGTGGCAGAATGGCAGAGTTCTGCCCACAACACTACAGTTCCATCTTGTAGTTACCTGTGACGCATACCATTAAATATGTCGGTAATCCCGGTACGGGAGTTGATTGTCACTCGACAGCCCAAAACCATGTCACAATTTGATGCGAAATCCATGCGACTGTGTCAGACGTCGGTGTGACTTGAACACGACATGAACGAAAGACAGCTGGTACGATTTCAAGCTGTTTGATCACTTGCTGTATTACAATCATTTCGGAAAACAATGCCCGGTGCGTGCGGGGTGCAATGAATTTGTTTATATTAATATTCGAATTATTTTTTACATCAAACCATGTGATGCATGTCCTTGGCACACTTGAGGTTCCCACCCTTTCGGTAACTTCCTTCTCGCAGAGACCAACCACCAATCACGACTAGACCCCGGGGCGCCAGCTCCATGATCTATATCAAATCTATGCTTATATCGTCTCCGGAACTCCTCAACTAGCTTGGATCCATGTCTTTCGGATCCACCCTTTGTCATTCCCTCCTGCTGACCTGGGCCAATCAAGTCTCTTTGCAGGTGACTTGCAAAACTTTTAAAACTTTGCTTGCTTGACCATCATCCTGCTGATCGTTCTACTGGATATCGTTTGTAAGTCTGGTTGCAACTGCGCACGAAAAACTTGCACGACCAAAAATTTGAAGGGAGATAATAGATCGAGACGATGGACTCTTTAAGCGTTGGGAAGGAATACTCTTGATTCGAACGACTCTCAATCTTGACGTAGAGGGATATACTCAGATGTGCAGAGTAAAGCTCTTCGAATCGATACAACAGTTGGGAAGCCGTGGTCGATATATCAACACTTTTCCTGTCTTCTCATCTAGATATTCCAACCTCTCATCCACTGTCATTAGCTCCAGACAAGAAGACAATCTCTCGATGTAACATTTCCCCGCCCTTCCAGGGATAGCCCAGGACACCCTGCAAGAGAACTGCCTCACGATATGTCTGAATTGATCCCAATGAGTTAGCAACCAAACAGATCCTATCGTACGACATCTTTGCTAGAGCGCTATACACAACACTTTTTTGTGGTACGGTTTTTAAAATTCAGGTGCAGGCCTATCTCTGACTTTACAGCTTGTTATCACTGCAGCGAATCAATCTCAATCTGTTTCCTCCTATGGGCGAGTCTAGCAAGATTCTTCCGATGCAGGCGGCACTTCTCAAGTAATCATGTTAGCGAAGTTTATTTAGTTCTTGTGATCTTGTCAAAAGAATTATGTGATACATTCGAACAGCAGGACAGGTTCGTGACTTGCGTGTGTCACAATTCATCGCTACCCCGAGGCTGAGCGTCCTGAAGAACAAATAACCATCATGGTCCTGCCAGTGGCACCGAGCTCTGAATTTATGGTGCGAACGCAACATACAATACATCTTCCCGTTTCACATGATGCCAGGATCTCGACCGTCCTCTCTGTCAAGGTTTCTGAGTATAGACGTTTTTGTTTTGCTTTGAATTCCCGAGTGGCTGACAATCACTGGCTTAATATTGTGTCAAATGCTGGCGATCCATCATGATCGCGACATTCGCATATTTTCATCACAATATATCTCAGGTCAAGATCGTTCGAGAGTTGACACTGTCGCCCTGATATGCACTCGTCTTTCGAACGTTGCGTTGCATATATGCCATTACCTGCACTTTATGGTCTCAGTGAGTCCGCCATTGTCGGCACTTATAGAGTCTCGTCCCTTCTTGAAAATTTACAATCGCGCATAAAATTTGCTAGGCTCGTATGTAGTTCCCACCAGCCATTGTTGAATCCAGACTCCAGATCAAGATGACCCGCCTATCAATGCGTGATATTAGAGAAATCAAGGCACGTGATCATACGCGCTGCGGCGTTTTATAAGTTATAGTGTTTTACGTTCTTGAATTTCAGATTCGACCGCGGCAACATGATGTGTGGTAATACTACGTACCCCGGAACTATCCCAAACAAATTCAGGCTGAGCTCTGAATCGTATAAAACATGGGCTCTGAAGACGACTTTTACCATTCCTCTACTGCTCTCTCAACAGCCTCATCAGACGGTCAAACTCTTAGTACTTCTTAGCCAACCCTCTTAATCCTCTACTCTCTCAGCAATGTTCGCTCGCATCCTTGCTATTGTCTCCCTCGTTGCCTTCGCTGTTGCCGATGCTGGCCAGTGCAACACTGGCAACATCCAATGCTGCGAGAGTGCTACCACTGTATGTGGATACATCTTTCGTTAGCAATGTGAGATGACTGACGAACGGTTTGCAGGTTCAGAAGTACAACGCGAATGCCATCAAGAGTGGTCTTGCGACTATCCCTACTGATGTTACCGGCCTCGTTGGCTTGGAGTGCAGCCCCCTCATCGTCGTGGCTGGCGGTGCAGGCTGCGAGGCTTCCCAGGAACCTATGTGCTGCAGCAACGAGGAATACGTACGTGCTTTTCATGATGGTCCATGATCGCTTAATGATTGTGGTTTAGAACGGCGTTGTGAACGTTGGCTGCAGTCCCATTAGCCTCTAGATACCCAGCATACATGCACTTGGTGGAGAATCAACTAATATAGGGTTGGAAGGTCGTTCATTTGACTCATCGATACCCTTTTATCCTGGAGGATCATATTATTGAATAATAACTTGTCTATTTGCTTTTCTTGTGTGCTCATGTGAGGTTATTGTTCAACTCAACTAGCTTTCAGGGTGTATGGGCGTCCGTAAACCAAAAGGGAATGTACCTAACCGTTTGGTACGTCCCCTTTAAACAAACTTCAAATTTCTCCGGTTTAACTGTTAAACGGTTAAACGTTAAGATTTGAAATTGCTCCGTTATGTAAACCACATGCTCAAATAATTTTCAGAATTCCGGACAGTGAGAGACTACATTAGATGACCACAAAGGACCAATAACTCTGCTATGCACCAGTACCGGGTGTCGACTTCCTCTCTTACTCGCGCTCCTGAGGGTCATGGAACCTCCTCAGACTCCCATTTCATTTAGATTTACTCAAGCATGCGGCACCACCAATTTTTGCTGAACACCCAAGACCCATACTCATTGATAAGTCAAGGTTCAGTCGTGATGCTGGTGTTCGCAACGTGCGTAATCAGTAAGGGGAAATCATCCACCTTGTTGTGCTGTGTAGTTCTGCGCGTCATCAATCAGCTAGCCATAGTCGTCAAAAGACCACACTGAGATATGGCTGACCGCTCCTGGAGATGTAAATGTCAGTCAGGAGTCGATTAAACGAACTCCGAGTCGCTGCTCAGCCTAAGACTAGCCGTTGCGCCAATATTAATACAGGCGCTTGGCCTTCCAGGATGAATTTTCACCCATGCTCTAGCGCAGACGGTACAGTTTTCTGTGTCGGTTAAGAGACTCTGTACGTTTCCACCGAAAGGCAAGAAAATGTTAATACTACTGCTGGAAAGACAATCGGGGGCGGTGTAGTCAATGTCACGTGCACCAGAATTCCAAAGGCAAATCCCACGCCCAACCGCGATGCTGCTGGTGATGATAACGATGATTTCGATTCGATATATACGCGCAGGGCACAGTCTTGCATGGACCATAGCCTGCTCGCAGTATCTCTTTGTATCGAGTTCATTTAACTGTGTCCATTGTGCCCTCGGTGGTATTCTAATATATTTAGCTAGCGAAGACAAGGATCCGTGGAGTCGCAACGAATTCGTGGTAGACATCAAGTGACACACCGCAGGGCCAGATGCTCATCGTAGCTGAGGCGGCCTGATTTTTTCATGTCATGGGGGTATGTACTTGGTGCGATCTGGTTGGGTGTGAAGAATTACGGCTGTGGCGGACCGGGTGTTCCCCAAGGCCGAGACTTGTCCAGCCGTTCTCCAACCGTTTCATTCTCTTCACCACCTTTAGACAATGAAGACATTCACCGCATTGTACGCGCTCCTTTCTGTTCTTTTTGCATCTGCTGCTGTTTTCGATCAGCCGCCGCCTCAGGATGTGCTCGGAAGACCCACCGTTGATACTCTAGATCACCGCGACGCTTACATAGAGGAGTTGCTTGCTACCCACGCGGATGATCCTGTACAAGTTATGCGTCTTCTAGATCCTGATAACGCGTCAGAACTAGATGCGCCACGGTTGTTGCAAGTTTTCGGGGCCGAGGCAGTATGGATGACCGAGGGCGACAAACTACGTCTTCGACAGCAGGGCCTCGGGTTCATCGACCTCACCGATCATCAGAATTTGCACGCATGTCACCGGTCTGCTGAAACAAGTATGTGCTCCTCGTACTTCTATTTCTATCCTTATTAAGCTGAGAGTCGAACCATAGCATGGCCTGAATTACGATATCAAGAGAAGGTGACCTCCGTCACCAAGCTTCTCAGCAAGGACGAGATGAAGAGAAACTTGAGAAACTTAACTTCGTTCCACAACCGGTATTATCGCTCGGAGCTTGGTGTCAAGAGTTCACGCTGGTTGTACAACCAGATTCTGGACGTCAGTGTTATCACACTGAAATCTTCGAACTCATGTATATAGTAATTCGCTTGTCCAGATTGTCTCTGCTGCCCCTCCTGGTGTCCGTCTCTCAGTCGAGACGTTCACTCACGTATTCCCTCAGCCTAGCATCATTGCTCGCTTTGAGCCGTTCTTTGGACGTGCTTCTCCTAATCCGACGATAGCCCTTCCTCGCATCATCGTTGGCGCTCACCAAGACTCCGCAAATTACCGCTTCCCTTTACTCCCTGCACCTGGAGCAGACGATGATGGTTCAGGAACGGTCACAATCCTCGAGGCGTTCAGAGCCCTTGTCCAATCTGGATTCGCGCCAGAACGTCCGGTCGAGTTCCACTGGTATGCCGCAGGAAGAAGGTGGATTATTAGGAAGTCAGGAGGTTGTGTCCGAGTACAAGCAATTAAAGAAGGAAGTAGGCGCCATGATTCAGTTTGTGAGCATAAGAGTGATCCATCCATTCTGAACTGAGAATTAACTGAATGCTAGGACATGACTGCATATGTACCAAAGGGAGAAGTTCCCGTTGTGACATTTATCTCGACGGACGTCGATTCGAATCTGACGAACTGGACGATGGCGCTTGCAGAAGAGTACAGTGCATCTGTTGTAGGCAGCGCAAAGCTCTTGTAAGTGCGGTACGACCATTTTCGCAGTATTCTTGGCTGACTGAACCTGTTTCAAGTGCTGGTGCAGGCTCAGACCACATGTCATGGTACCGAGCGGGGTACCCTGCCATATTTGCGGCGGAGGGCGATCCGTTCAGGACGTTCAACCCGTACATCCACACTTCAGGAGACAAGATAGACCTTGCCGACGGAGAGTTTTCATTTGAGGTGCGATATCTCTCACTGATGTATATTACGTCGTGGATCATTGACTGTTGGAATACGATCAGCATGCTCTCGAATTCGCAAAAGTTGCTGTTGGCTTCGTTGTTGAGCTCGGTGGATGGGCTGAATAACTTGGTAGAGATGATGTCATAGCTACCAATGCTGAGACTTCCTCACATTGAGGCGACGCAGCTCTTAAATTTTTTCACATATATATTTCCTGTAGACTGATTGTTCGCGTACTTGAGGATATGAGCACTTCAGCACTGGCACACGTCACGTTCGAAGCAAAGCTTGCTTCAGCTCCAGGAATACGGATGGCAACTTTGCTCCTATTAACGTATCAGCGTAGAAGTTCATTGATATGAATACAAAAACAGGTCGTGGTCTAGCTAAATCATCAAATTACAGGAATACTCTATATGTTCAGCCGATAGCGACTTCGGTCAAAAAAGTACCGCAGCAACGTGTTGCCAGAAGCCTTTCGGAGGAATCTCAGGACGTTCTGTTTCTTCAAAGCTGGGAATACCCTGATTAATTAATTACAAGTGAGTCCGAGTCCCAGGTAAAGCTGACGTGTCATGCGCACCGTAGAAAAGTCCATCTCATCCAGTTTCCACATCACCGTGCCTCGTGTGACTTTCCAGAAGAGAAATAATCCAATGAATACCGGGATGTTAAGATCTGTGATCATTGGTCAGAACGTCATCCTATCAGGAGAGAAGGACCAGCCTACATGACGTCAAGAAAGTAGAGGCAACAAAATGCCAAAACACGCTATATCCATTTATTAGGATAAATATTATACACCAGAACAGGCCCCAGACGGATAGCCACGGCTATAAATTGAAATGAGTGACTTTTTTTATGCGTTTTGGTGATCTTGCCTGACTTGTAGGGGATTCCAGTAATGGAGTTTCTGTCGGTCGATGCCTTGGTATCGCAGTCCGCGATCTGTATAATTCATTAGGTCATCGATGATCCACAGATACGTCCGGTGCTCACAGAAACAGATGTAAGTTACATTGATCGAAAGCCAGCCGACAAAACCACCCATTACAGAGAGATGCTGGAACCAGCTAAGACGCGACGTGAGCCACATTGCGAACACGAGACGACCTATTGAAATTCACTTGAACACGGTTTCTGCACCTGATGATATATTCATCAGAGACAAAAATGCGAAGACGCTCTGTTGATCCAACATCAGCGGCTGTGGTACTTGGGACTAGACAAGCGTTCATTCATACCGAACAGAGCACCGCCACGATAGGCACGCCTTTCTTCGTACAGATAGTGAGGAATCTGGGTGCTTGTTTACGAAGTGCCAAACCATAGAGAATGCGCGAAGAACAAAAAAGGAACGAGTTGCCAGCGGAAAAAGCGCTAGTTATGAAGCCTGCATTTACTACAGCGGGTAACACTACGTGGCAGGGGGAAATAAGGCACGACTTTATGGAAAGGCAAAGGACACACCTTTTATTCCTGAATTCTGCATCGCAATCACAAATGGAGACTTTGCAGAGAAACCATTTCCCGTCAGTAGGTCTGGGCTATTTGAAGGTACGATGAGTCCTGCAACGAAAACGCCGAGAATCTACTGAATTGTAAGGGGCTATTCATCGTAAGAGATCATGATGCTCAACGTAGAAGATGAGGATTCGGTAGAAAACTCTGCGAATAGCTTTGGAAATATTCCTCCGTGGGTTCTCCGTTTCAGATGCTGCACTATCGGATTGTTAGCGAATACATATTGGGCCAGAATGAGATACGACATACACAGCTACTATCTCTATTCCCTGGTAAGCAAATGCGGCTTGAGCGATGACACTCAATATTCCAAGGAAATTATCAAGTGCGGGATACCGAGGTTCAAATCCAGGTCCAGCAAAAACACCCGGGTTATTCCAGTACTTTGGACAATTAGCTCACCAGTCCGCTGATAAACCAGTACCTACTTGAAAACCAAGTCGCTGGTGATTCGGTGCTCCCCCGAGGTCGATGACGAGGCCAACGATGATGAGACCAGTGATCAGTATCACTGTCAAACATGCTGAGTTTGCTGTACAAATATTTGCAAAAGGACGGCTTACACTTCATGATGGAAAGAGCAAATTCGGCTATTCATCCTTTAGTACATAAATTGAAAAGCATGATGGACCTACTTTCTCCGAAGTATCTAAGATTTAGGAATGAATACACGTGACACAACCGGCTTCAACGACTCACATTACACCAAACACATTGGTGGCACATATCAAGATGCATATCACTACAGTATAAACTGCAGCGTGATGTGACTAGAAGAATCCCGACTTTTAGGACACGACAGGAACGCCAGAAGTAGTTTAAAAACTCACATCCCACAAAGAGATTAGTATTTGTGCTCCGGATATTTCCACGGGAATGTAAAACCTGAAAATAACGATGTGAATCACTGAATGGCTGGGATAGACTGTATAGACCTACGCATTAGTCTTATAAAGGGGCAATCATGATATAGGCACAGATTCGATGAATAGAGAATAGAACCTTACAAGAAAATAATTCTGACAAGTGATACTTGATTAGCTATGATCAAACATGATGAGAAGCGAAGATATGCACCCAACCAACCTACAGAGTACAAAAGATCAGTCGGAGGTTGATACTTAAGCAGGCCACTCACTGCAAATCCCAATGCAGGATCTACCCAACGAGAGGCTGTGTAATGGCAAGTTGACAACATTCGAGTCTAAAAAAGGAAATGTACGGACCGAAGTGAGGAAATGAACCTGATATCGGTGCGAGGGAGGTCATCTCCCCAAGTGAACATAATGACCTGGCTGAATCAAGTAGGTGGGACCCGCACAAATTGCAGACTTACGAATACGCTACAGAACCAACAAGGGCAAACGCAATCAAGGCACCGAGTGGCCCAGCTGTGCGAATGGCTCCCCCTGTACCTAGAAATAGTCCTGTACCCAAAGTACCAGCAATCTTAAAAAGATGTCAAATAAATTCAAAGGCAAGGCATTCGGGGACTTGCAGCTATCCTATGATGAGAGAAACGAATGACAACAAAATAAATAAGAAAGCTGATAAAACTTACATTTGTATATGTCGTTGCTTGAGCCTCCGTTTCACCAGATCTGTGGAAGTAACATCCAGTGGAAGATGACTATTTGGATCGATTTGGAGTGCTTCCACGTGAGTAACATTATTTGATTGTTTGCGGCGCTCTTGGAGCCTATATCCTTCCTGCATTGCGACACGGTGAGGTTAGGGGAGAGTGTTGGGGAAGTAGGAGTCGGCAGGGTATCGCGTCATTGGACTTGTGTTCGAGACTGGATTTAAGTGAAGCGCTTAGATACAGCATTGAGTTGCTGTATCTATCACCGAGCTCCACATCAGAGACCGTAACTCATGCCTGATGGAGTATTCGTCGATAAGTTGGCCCCAGAAGGTAATATCCGCAGTGTCCGCCGGTTAAAACTCGGCCCAATGCTTATCGTCTCGGAATTTGAACTGCGGTTGGGCACTGGTTGAGCACTCGGAAGGCCAATTGTAGCTAGCCGCCCACCATTACCGGAGAGGGACAACTGTGTGGCAGTGTGCGAAAGTTAAGTCGCGACGTTCTGGCAACAACGTTACTCAGGACCATACATCTTTTCAACTGATATGTGCAGGGCTACGTGCCCATCATAATGCACAGGATATTCTACAGCAAGAAATGACTCCATACGAGAGCGGCTGAGGTGACTATCATGAAAGGCAATAAGTGATGGTACGACAAAGTTCAATTAAAAGTTAACTCCGTAGCTGATCTATGGTGCTGCGTGGCTGCTGACACCGTTCATGCCTGCGGGGTCTATTCCAACGCGATCCACTGTACCATAGGGAGAAGGTAGGACAACTCGCCAAGGCCAGTCGGTGATAGAGACCCGCTCGTTTGAAGCAAGTATGGAAAGACCTGCATTAAAATTGTTGGTTGCTAGAAGTGAGAAACATCATTCCCAATCCTTCCTGTGTGCGTGGCCCTATCAACGTCTTAATGTTAAGTGAATTTTATGCCAAATTTGTAATCGTAGGTCCTCTGACCTTCGACCACGGAATGATTTGTACATCCCAATAACTTTTGGATTCTCAGCATCAGGGGCTAGATCTCGGAAGAAGAATGGGACCCATGCATTTCACACGGGGCCAAGATACGCACTGGTTGCAGACGGGGGCATTGGCGATGTAGCTTTTTCCAGTGCACGGTTCCTTTCGGGATGCAAGAAAGCTGGCTAAGCTTCCAGGCACTCACGTCTGATGGCCGGTGTGCGCTTATGTGAAGCTACAATGTGTTAAAACTGCCGCGGTTCATTGATATATGTACCGCTGGACGCAATCCGACGAGGCTAGTTGCTTCGAAGTTGCTCGAGATGAAGCACAGCGTTCTCCCAGAGGATAGCCATGGCAGTAAAAGGCACGTTCAACCCTTTAAACCCGGTCACCACGCAAATAAGGATCCACGTTGGGCAATTTCAATGGCTTTATTAAATCAGCTAGACTGTGATACGGGTGACCAATCCCTACCTCTCGATCAACCCATCCCGTCGGGCTTATCCAGCATGGTTATCCCCTGTTGATGCTGTCGAGCCCGCAAAATCACCACGACTTCATGTTGAAAGTATCGGCGCGGTCATATTTATCATCCTGGGAAGCTTTATCTTGCGGCGCTATCTGCCAACCAGAACTTACTTTCTATGACAAATGGGGTATGAATGCGTGAGCTCAAGAATGTAACAATGGTATTATGGTCGGTTTCGCTGTGATACACTGTCCTTGTAGAGTGAACTCTGAGATAGGGAGTCGGGCAGAGGGATACAATAGGCTGTGTTTTGACGAGGTAAGCTGAGAATTAGTCAGCGCTAGTGCTTTTTCGAGGTGGAAATGGGCACATCTGTGACACCACTTGGTCGGTCCTACTTCAATCCCAAAACCACATTGTGGAAGAAACCAACACCTGAGCGTCTACCAGGGAGCTTGACACCTGAGCGCGTGATCGAGGGTCATTGCAAAATCATTTTGGGCCTTGCCTAGTTGCAATATACTGAGCGTTCAAAATTTCAAATGATAGTTCAATTCGTCGGTGGACAAGAGGTGGAGAACCAGTGGGGGCCGTACAGAAGCGGCCGCAGCTGTGCGACATGTGAATGGCAATGAGGCAGTTCAACGCAAGCAGGTCAACCTCAAGGTGGGGCGGGGACGCAAGCGTCCCGACGGAAAGGTAAGGTCACTACTGGTGGGACGGGAGCAGTTGCTTATGAAGTTAGGTGTTGCGGATTGTTTTTCAAGTTTAGTCTTGGTCGTCTTTCCTCCCGTTAGTCATGAGCTAATCTACTTGCTTTGGTGTTTTTCTCTAGAAACGGTTGTGGGCTTTACAGACTGGTTCACACCTAGAAATACAGCTTCTCGAGTTTACAATATCATCTCCATCTTCAAATGAGTGGGAGCCTGACAGTATGTACATCCCATATGCCCCAGACTGTGAATTCACAAATAACTATGAAGTTCGAGTTGTCATCGAGAACACAAAGACAAAAGATTCTTCGACGCTCGTGGTGCTATAGTCGTTGGCTAGATCGAATGCGAATCGACGATCTTGCTTGTCTTTGCATTTGACTTTGCATACTTATTTTAAAATCATATCCACATCATGTGAGTTATCTGTACTTGAAACTATTGCTTGGCATACATTGTCCTGTGCAATGAGAATGATAATCCTGACCAGACAGTCTCTCCACGTGTTTGACGACACACATTACATGATAGTGCAACCGCTGCCCGGTCGATTCTCGCCGTGGAACGTGCCATGTTTGCTGGCCATGTGCGCATAGATGGTGGTGCCACCGGAACAGACGTTCATGCATTGCCAGCAAATATGACTGTTGCACCTGTACCGGAGCGAATCAATGAAATGCAAACAAAAACGGGGCGCATCTAGAATAACTTACAGTGTGCAAATTACATGATTGCAGCCATCCGCTTTCTCGATCAGTGCTTGACAAGTTGGGCATCTCTTCACGCGCCCGCCACAAGCTGCCAGCCATGCTTCCATTTCTCGCTCCTCCTCAGCAATGCGTCCGGCCTGCTGCTGTTTGTTTTCGGCACAGGTCATGCCGTCATGGGCGTCATCATGGCACGACGTACATGTGTTTGAGAAACATGAAGGGTGCTGGGGTCGGTGGAGCGGTAGATCTGATTACAGTCTGGTGTCTTGCAATATTCCAATTCCTGCGGATGCCGAGATATGTGCGCATGAAATGCTACTTCCAGTAGGCGGTTGAAGGAAGTTGGAGGAAGGAATTGTTGGATAGTGGGAATAGGAATGGGGACTTTACACTGGCTCTCATCACCCATGCACGTGAGCGGAAACTGACCAGAATCCAAGGCGGATGTCAAGAAATGACGCATGCAAGGAGAACAGTAGATGTGTCCACAACCAAGAGGAAGCGGGGACGATATATTGTCATAGCAGATCGGGCAGGACTGCTGTCCTGACGGGTCTGGGACAATCTGTGGTTCACAGAGCGAGTCTTTGATCAAGCGCTCGAGGGCATATCGACTTTCCTCGCCACCAGAGATTGTGATTCTCCGTGTTGTAAGGCTGCTATTGAGTTCGACGGGGATTGTACCCTTGGTGTCGGAAATGAAACTGACGCGAGAGTTAGAGAGAGTATGATAACGAGCGGATCGGGATTCAGAGTAGAGGACTCTCAGAGGGATGGACTGCGTGCATCTAGTGGGAAGATAAAGATTCTCTGTTGAAAAAAATGTACATGGTTGTATTTAAGTTGCGAGAGTGTAAGGGTCCTCGCTGTTACGAGATTGAAGGTTTTTGTGAGACGGAAAATAGGTGGCGCTGCGCCTGACAGGGTAGAGCTGCGGGAATGAGTGAGGGTACGAAATATTTGAATGAAGGTGGTATTAGGTGGCTTGCCGTGCACAGGAATAACGAAAGTTTCGTAGCGGCTTGACTGTTTTTAGGGCAATAGAGTGAAAATGAGACGAATTAACGAGAGAAAGGGTTTGTGAATGTCCAGGGTTTCGTATGAGGGTGAGTGAAGGACCGATCTAGTTGTCGACGATAACGAAACATGAAGGTAAGAAAGGAGGATGTATCCGCGTGACTCGGATGCGAAGCGTAGTGCTTCTTCGCATCAGTGAGTCACATGGCTGACTGGACACGTGTCCTTATGTCTCGTTGAGAAGGTATAGTCGGGGTGTACAGGATATGCGATCCTTACAGTGTAGATATGACAAATTTGACGTAGTCTTCGCCAAAAGTTTCCTTCAACTCTGGGATTCCACGTGCAAGAAAAAATCGAACAGATTGCTTCGCGAGTACTTTGGTATACTCAAGGGACGAGAGCTGCTCTAGCTTGTTCTTGATTAACTCACGAGCCTGTTCAACAGCTTTCGAATCTCCATAAACTCTCAAAACCTGTCGTCTCCAATCCGCACGTACGAATGCCCCTGTGTCGTCAAAAATCGAACGTAAAAATTTGTTGTTTGAATATCCGAGTCTCCTGTGCCACCCTTCCACCTTGGCACCTGCGTTCAGACTTTCCGCTCTGACTTTGAGTGCGCCAACGGCTTCTTTCTTGGAACCAGACAAGCACATCCGGACAACGGCGCCCTGTTCATGAATGTGCAGCATACACGCACGCTTGTCTTTGATGCCATCAATCAAGGCGTCCCACAAAGACTTTTGTGCCCGGAACTGCTCAGTAGAGATAGTGATCGAGTACTGTGTGGGATTCGGGAGCCGGAACCAGAAGGATACGTTCCCGATGTGATGCTTAAGGAGACGGGAATGTACCGCGTCCGCGTCCTCCCACGAAGAAAACAGCGCATGGACCATAACAATACCATCAATGCTCGGAGTGGGCAGCAGTGGCTCCAGCGACTTGAGGGTTCCAGGAGAGATGTGTTCGATATCATCCCATAATGTGGCAGTAATATGGCCGACGTCTTCGCTGGGCACTCCACCATTCACCCTCAACCGTCTGACACTATCTGAACCAGAAAATGTTTAGATTCTTCTTCAGAGACAGTGGTAGGAAGGAAACTAATTTTGACTGAGTTGCGGTGGAATGTTGGCACGAAGCGACTAGGTGGCATGGTGTTGACCTCAACTTTAACCCGGCGTCCAGAACACATCTGACGGTTCAGTTCCTGCGCTTTCGCAGTAGCATTTACCGTAACAGGGTATTCTGCGACATAGCACACGGATGGAGCACGCCAGCATATCGTAAGGACATTATTGTCACGTTCAGTCGCCCCAGACATACTTCCGGGACTGTTGTAGCCTGACACTTCGAGAGTCAGAACTTCGTTCCTAAGCTCAAAGCCACCGAGGTCAAGCGAGAGTTCTTTCCCAGACTCAGCGTCTGTGATAATTCTAGCACGCTTTCCACCACTTGGCGTAGGTTTGACGCCGACGAGGTGGAAGCGCTCTCGATCAAGACCGCGGTCCGTGAACAACGCATTGATTTCGTCTTCCTGCACATTAGGAGGCAAATTTGCAATATGCAAGGTGCAGCACTCGAATCCAGTGATCAGGTGGGATAATTCAAGGCCTGCGCTGAAGGTTACGATAGACCCAAGTACAACGCTCTGGATTGTCTTCGCGGCAGTGTCTTTGGTAATCTCGGCTGCATGAGCCTCCACAGCTAACTTTTGTTTTGTTTTATTTTGTTGGGGAATATCATCTTCAAGATGATCCTGATGGTCGCCAAGCTAAATACAAGGAAGAAAGGCACCCGAAATATTCACGTACTTTGATGCTATGCGGGAACCGGCATTTAGCGCCTTTTGTGCACATCCCAGCCTTCCAAGCGCGACACACTTCGCCACCCTTGGAACTTCGGGATGGCCCAACAGACTTATGACCGGAATTCTCCGAGGAAGGCTTTTGAGACATGGTGCGCTGCACCTGTGGCTGAGCCGTCCTAGGATGGCGATTCTGTTGGCCATTGTGCTGATTAAGACCCTTCTGGTCTAATGGACGTTTGACAGTAGTATGACTCAATCCAGCGCCCTCAACATGCTGAGTGCGTGCTAATGCGTCACCCTGTAATGACAAGCTTCAGTACATAACCCAGACTCCAAATTCCTGAGCGAAAACTTGCCTGGATTTCGTGGCTAAACTTGCACTTCGCTCCGTAACGACAACGACCTTGGACATGATACTGGCACGACATAATTGTAGGAAAGAAACAAGCCCTGGATTCGAGTGCCGACACCTCGTGTGTACAGCATGTCTGCACCGTCCAAATTGTTCAAAACAGGGTATTATGGAAGCATGATAGCCGGCTAACAGAGTGGGTGCTCTGATGGTGGCCGCAGCGTTGTCAGTACAACAAACTCTTTGTAAATAAACGCCCATGTCCATAGCTACTGACCAGTATATGTATATGTAGCTCAATGTGCTGGATGTTGTCTCCTCTGTCCAAAGATACTTAGCCACGATACTGATCCATATCGAAGAAGCTGGACTCCACATGGAAGTGGGAAAGAGTAGTTTCTGTTGTGATAACTCCGACTCTTCGAGCCTTGTTCAAACTTCTCTTAGGGTAGCCTCGATTCAGCTTCATGGATAAAGAACGCCTGGATGGCCGGACAATCGAAGTCAAAGTGCGAACGATCGGAAAAGAAGTTTGCGTACTAGACGGACGGGACACGTACAACTTTTTGGTTCAACCGCCAGGAGCATTGACAGTGGCTTAATCCTTGTCGAAGTCGCCAAGCACTAGTTACAACGCATCCGGCCCTCCAGGTTCCCTAGCTCTCTCCATGTGCCCAGGCAGCGAATTGTAAGTTACCAACCCATCCATTCACTCACTCACGTCATAGAATAAAGAACCGCACGGTATATGAAGGTCTCTATGACATGGCATGAATTCCACGGAGTTACAGTATGAATGCCTTCATACAGTTTACTAAGGCTATTTAAAGTAAGATTTTCAACGTTCTGAAACGATTTCACAAACTAACCTCCGTCTCCACAAAATCACCGACGACCCTGCCGAGACCAATCGGTTCCAATTTCTGGAATGATGCCTACTTCACTCGCATCGACGATGCAGTGGTAACGGCCACCAGCGCGTACATTGAGCGGACGGCCTTGGGTTAATGCCGTATGGATGCACTGTTGAAGTGTCATCTGGGTATGCTGCGGCTCGTCCATGTCAAAATGTATGGGACGCATGTCTTCTGGGCAACGTTCGCTGCAAACAGGCGTTAAGGGATAACAATTGATCATCCCACGGAGTACGGCAGGGTCCCGCTCGTGTAAGATCTCTCAGTATTTAGAGTAAGCCCAGGAGGTCTGGGGGACAGCGACATGAGATGGAACTTCACGAATGTTTACGCGTGAGCTGTGTGGGAGGCGCGAGAGTGCTGGATGAAGGGAGTGGGGGTTGGGAACAGGGGGAACAGGAATGGAGGGAGGAGGGATGTTCGAGCGACCAGCGCTGGACTTGGTGCGAATACGTTCTTCTTGTCTGACATTGCAAGTATGGTCGTCAGGGATCTGCAGTACATCTGCTGAAGCTTGATTAACATACCTCTGGTTTCTGTGAGAGATGGGCAGGTAGGCTTGTCGACTACCTGCATCCAAATTATGGATAGACACTTGGCACCTGAGATTCTTTGAGTTCAAAGAAAGCGCTCTGAAACCGCTGCGAGGGAGGCCCTCAGTTTGTTCGGGGGAATGGGGAAACTTGGGCAGCAAGTCCGCGTGTGGGTCAGAATTTGCGTGAGTTGGCCCATGGTAGTAGGTGTGTTGCAACAGTTTTCCGTGATAGACCTCGAGCATCCCTGGAGCTTGCTCAACGTACACGATGTCGGACTTCTTAAGAAGAGTCTTGCCACGGTATGCACGTTTGGAAGAATCGTCACGAAGAGGCTCGCACTTCCTCTTTTCTGAAGAAAGTCCGTATGGCATCGGTCTAGAATGCTTAAGCGACGCATTCTGGTCGTCGTTAGACCTGAGGGGTATTGATTAGTACGATGACAACGAGTAGAACACAGAAACGGTCGACTCACTTTTGGAAAATCTTCTTGAACGAATTCATGATTTATATCTGGAAATAAGCAATGTACAGTTGCAAAGAATATGAGGAGGTAGGTCTGACGATGCAGGGAGTCTGCATTTCAGTCTTTAAAGGTTCGAGTGCTGTGGATTCACTATGATTCCACATCCACAACCACAAAGCAATATCTGAAAACGAATCAAATGTGGATGCTCTGGCGATTGTTCTGATTACCCACCTGGAATAATAATGCTATTGATGTCGCCCCACTTGCACCACAAAGGTGGAATATGCAACAACCAACCAACTGTGTGGAACAGTTGCCACAAGCCGGCCCAATGGATGCATCGCGTGTTCTGCTGGTTCATACCTCGAGCTCATAGCTTGTGCTCAATGAACATGTATTAGAATTCCCAGCAATAACGTATAGCACGCCGGCTCGGATGCATGGGATACGAGGATGGGACACGACATGTACAGAGACGCTGAAAAAAAACAGCTATTTTTCTCCTTTAACAGTCTCACTTGACAAGACCGCTCAGCGTACCTTTTAAGGCGCAGTGCACCCAAATCGGCTATATTTTAATCCAAGTTAATCAACATCAATAAATATGCATGGAGTGCGTTCGAGCTGACATCTCAACAATCTGAAGGTAATACAAACAGTCAAGCAAGTATTGATATTAATTTCAACGGAATTACACACGTGACCGTTATGACCTTTGATATGCCTCGAAAATAGACCCAGGACAAATCATGAGCCCGAATGAGGCAAACATTGTAGAAGTGTTGAGATACTCTAGCTCCAATTCGAATGCGCGGATTGCCTGCTCCGAGGTACGAATACCTGTTTCGTGGTCAATTCTGGGATTCAGATCTAACCGTGCCATTCGTACGCATGGAGGGCAACACATTCAAATGGAATCAACAATTATTGGTCCACTTCAAAAATATTTCGCCATGGGCCAGGGAACCAGCTTGCATTGCCCTCCGACGCCAACAGAACTAGAAATCTCATCTGTATCATAAGCTTCATAACCATGGTCAGCCTGCGGATCGAAGAAGACCTGAAAGAAAGCGTACTTCGTTGTGGGTCCTGGGATCAAGGATGGGAGTTAAAGACTACATGTCCATGGAGCTCTCGGTGTCCGGTACAAATGGAATTCCATATAGCTGGTGTCTGTGGCTTTTATAGACGGCGCGGTGCTTTAATTTTCATCCCTTACAAGTTGTGAAAAATGAGTGGATAATAATAAAAAAGTGAAGAAACAGAGCACGAGTGGCCTTTTTTACACTTTCTACCAGTTCTCTGAATTACTGATACTTGGTTCGTCTTTTAGCTCGAGCAAGCGAACATTAAGGGACGCTAAGAGACCCGATGTTTTCCTGATGGATTGTTTCCTGTGTAAGGCTATTTGATCGAGTTCGACGGGGAATGATTCGGACCAAGAGAGAATGAGTGAGGGGGAGTTTATTTACAGAAGCTATAGAAAGTAGAGACCGACTATTTGTATGTAAGTGAGCACAAAGGGAGTTCCGTAAGTAGTACTTCGAACCGGTACAAAGGGAATTCCATATAGCTGGTGTCTGTGGCTAGCAGAATGACATTCCTTACACCTGATGTGCGTCGAGACTCGATGAACGCTCCAGATCACTAGTAACTCACGCATCAGCATCAACGGCCATGCTGATGCCATCTAGTATGTGAGACTCACCATGCATACAAACATCCACTGCCATATATGTAAATAAGTCATGTTTTCAAATTCCGGGAAAATGCAAATACGCACGCAAAAGCTATAAGCGCAGTGTGGATGATGGCATTGATCGTCCAAGTAACAAACCTTGATACACTCGTTAGCCGTGTCCGAGTCGCTGGTTGCGGGCGCGGCAGAGACTGATGATGCTAGGGCAATAATGACGGCCGCGAAGACAATTGGAGAGGCGAAACGCATCCTTTGTGACTCGTGTGATATAGGATCAGGTAATTTTGAAGGATAGTAGGAAGACGGCTGGATTTTATGTCTTGCTCTTGAATCACTGCAGTTGCTTGGATTTACCTCTGAATGGATGCCAGCACATAGTACTATGTGATGCCAGTACATTGCCAGCAAAGTTCATATGGAACGACTGACTATTCGCATTTCCAACCAGCGGTTGGCTTGGTCAAAATGGTAAGTATTCTGCGTCCTACGTGCGAATCTCGACATGGTATGATTTCTGCCGTAGGAAGACTGGTCGATATTGTAATTTCGGAGAGTGGTCAATGCAATGACCAGTTTCCTTTTCGAGTTGACTGTCGATGTGTGTGGCCAGCTGTTTGCAAGCTTAAGCATTAAGCCAATGTCTTTCCGATAGCGAAAAACACGCATATAAGTCACGCTGCATGGTTGGTCGATGTAAGTGTTCCCGACGTGTGATAAAGATATATCATGTATTGTTAAATAGCAATACCCCCTTTTGTCATGCTACTCTTTGAAGCATGCTCTATGTTCCCAGAGCCATATGACTTATATTACCAAATCGTACGAAACGCATGTTAGCAGAACGTTCTCGTCGTTGTCGTCCTCATCGCATAGCCCGTGTTCTAATAGATGAGCCTGATATGAACTGGCGGTTCACGTGAGTCTGACAAAAAAGGAAATCGATGAAAGTCGCTTACTAACTTAGAGTCTGTTTGGCCACCAATATTTGCGCAAGTTAGAATTTGGTTCTGGCTTTGCTAATCGTCGGAGCTTGAACAAGATGTCACGCTCGATAACGCTTACCTTATGCCTTGTCCTACTACCAATACAATGCCTCTTGATCCTGATTACGACGAGGACGCTAATGAGGACAAATACGACCTTGTGGAGGCAGAGGATATGGATGACAATGCAGAGGAGAGTGACATGCTATGCACACGGTCATCACAGTCCTCAATGCAACAACTACCGCGCTTGAAGCTTACTCAAACACCTACTATGACAAAGAGCCGTATCATACCTCTGCTCTGTCGGGGACTGCATGGGTCACCGAACTTCTCACTGGACACCCTGAGCGTATCAGATGCGAGCTTGGGGTCCACAAGCACATTTTCTATGTGCTCATCAATCTCCTTCAGCAAGCAGGATGCAGGGATTCCAGGCATGTACTGCTAGAAGAGCAGCTTGCTATATTTCTCTGTGTGTCTGTCATGGGCACACCCCGAAACGGGACCAGAAGCTCATTGCACGAGCCAAATCCAGCGTCCGCAAGATAATACTTTCCCTCAGGAATATTGAAATCGGTAGTACGAGCATCATGATAGACACGAGCATCTGCAGCTGACCCCTCCCAACTGCTCAACATGTAGGTAAACGAAAGGTTGAATGAACATGCCGTGAGGCAGTTTTGAGAGAAGTTCCCCTTGCGATCCCGAGCAGCATGCCAATCTTCACCAAAAGGATGGCATGCGATGTGTGTACTGTCAATGGCTCCGATAGCGTCAACAAAGAATGGGAAGAACTTTGGGTTTTTCATGATTTCGGGGGGAGGAGGGCTATCTACATCGGGCAGGTGAACATATGTTGTATATATTGGTGGCGAGGAGAATGCGAAAAGAACCCGTTTAAAACACCTGAAAGAACATAAGCTTGATACCAGGACAGCAACAATATACGTACTTTGATATTGTTTCATTGGACCGCTGAAAGCGTTCACCAAGATGGCGAATCGAGAGACCCATGACAGACGCATAGAGAAATATAGCAAGCTGCTCTTCTAGCAGTACATGCCTGGAATCCCTGCATCCTGCTTGCTGAAGGAGATTGATGAGCACATAGAAAATGTGCTTGTGGACCCCAAGCTCGCATCTGATACGCTCAGGGTGTCCAGTGAGAAGTTCGGTGACCCATGCAGTCCCCGACAGAGCAGAGGTATGATACGGCTCTTTGTCATAGTAGGTGTTTGAGTAAGCTTCAAGCGCGGTAGTTGTTGCATTGAGGACTGTGATGACCGTGTGCATAGCATGTCACTCTCCTCTGCATTGTCATCCATATCCTCTGCCTCCACAAGGTCGTATTTGTCCTCATTAGCGTCCTCGTCGTAATCAGGATCAAGAGGCATTGTATTGGTAGTAGGACAAGGCATAAGGTAAGCGTTATCGAGCGTGACATCTTGTTCAAGCTCCGACGATTAGCAAAGCCAGAACCAAATTCTAACTTGCGCAAATATTGGTGGCCAAACAGACTCTAAGTTAGTAAGCGACTTTCATCGATTTCCTTTTTTGTCAGACTCACGTGAACCGCCAGTTCATATCAGGCTCATCTATTAGAACACGGGCTATGCGATGAGGACGACAACGACGAGAACGTTCTGCTAACATGCGTTTCGTACGATTTGGTAATATAAGTCATATGGCTCTGGGAACATAGAGCATGCTTCAAAGAGTAGCATGACAAAAGGGGGTATTGCTATTTAACAATACATGATATATCTTTATCACACGTCGGGAACACTTACATCGACCAACCATGCAGCGTGACTTATATGCGTGTTTTTCGCTATCGGAAAGACATTGGCTTAATGCTTAAGCTTGCAAACAGCTGGCCACACACATCGACAGTCAACTCGAAAAGGAAACTGGTCATTGCATTGACCACTCTCCGAAATTACAATATCGACCAGTCTTCCTACGGCAGAAATCATACCATGTCGAGATTCGCACGTAGGACGCAGAATACTTACCATTTTGACCAAGCCAACCGCTGGTTGGAAATGCGAATAGTCAGTCGTTCCATATGAACTTTGCTGGCAATGTACTGGCATCACATAGTACTATGTGCTGGCATCCATTCAGAGGTAAATCCAAGCAACTGCAGTGATTCAAGAGCAAGACATAAAATCCAGCCGTCTTCCTACTATCCTTCAAAATTACCTGATCCTATATCACACGAGTCACAAAGGATGCGTTTCGCCTCTCCAATTGTCTTCGCGGCCGTCATTATTGCCCTAGCATCATCAGTCTCTGCCGCGCCCGCAACCAGCGACTCGGACACGGCTAACGAGTGTATCAAGGTTTG